CAAGGACTTCTAGATATCCGAAAAGCTCTTAATCTGTATGCAAATCTTCGTCCATGCTCGTTTGCAAGTGATTCGTTGATACCTCATTCTCCATTAAAGGAAAATATAGTTAAGGGTACCGATTTCACAATTGTTCGTGAATTAGTTGGTGGTATTTACTTTGGTAATCGGCAAGAAGAGGATGAAAAAGGTCAAGGTAATTATTTACCCCTTTTTATAAGCAGAAAGGTTGGCCTCTAAGGAGTTTCAAATTCCTACTGGTTTTATTTAAATTATAAAATCTGAAATTTCTTGGAGGTTCATCAAAAAAATCAATTCTCTTCCGCAGTGTTTAAAATTCAATGTTCTTAGTATTCTCAAAGAACACTTAACAATTTTTATGAACATGAATTGTTAGAAATGTTTTCTATCTGAGAACATTTAACAAAGTTTTCTTAATATTAAAAAAAAAAAAAACAAAAAATTTGAAAAAATTTTAAGAATTCAAAAAGATACTTTCTTGAGAACATAAAATTAAATTTCTGTTTGTGTTAGTAATACATATTTCCTGATTATAATTATTCTAATCTTGCTACACGTCTTTTTTTTTATAGCATTTGACACTCTTCCATATTCTGTTGAAGAAGTTGAGAGAATAACCCGTTTAGCAGCCCATTTAGCACTTGAAAAGAACCCACCAGCAACGATACACTCGCTTGATAAGGCCAATGTACTTGCTACGTCACGACTCTGGCGTCGTACTGTTAGCAGAGTTATTAAAGATGAGTTTCCTTCTGTTCCACTTAAACATTATTATATAGATGCTGCTGCCATGTATTTGGTGAAAAATCCGACAATGTTAAACGGAATTATTCTTACTGAGAACTTATTTGGCGATATTTTGAGTGACGAAGCTAGTATTATTCCGGGAAGTCTTGGTCTTTTACCTTCTGCAAGCTTAAATGGTTTGCCTGATGGAAAAAACCTATGTCTTGGACTATACGAACCCATTCATGGTTCCGCCCCCGATATCGCTGGACAAGGAATAGTAAATCCTATAGCAACTATTCTTAGTGTTGCTATGATGCTTCGTTATTCTCTAAATCTACCGCGTGAAGCAAAATCCGTTGAAGATGCTGTGCGAAAAGTTCTTGATGATGAAGAATTTGGTGGTAATGGTTATCGCACCAAAGATTTGGGTGGTACTCACACTACATCCCAAATCGGCGACAAGGTTGTTGAAGTTCTTGAAACTTATTTGGAAGGTTTGAATGCGGAGGATCGTACTTCTTCCATAACTCCAGTTCGTGAACTTTTGTTAACAAGACCACCTGGTCGTCGCGGTATGACTTTATGCGAAAAGATAATTACTCATGCTGCCATTGGACTTCCCCCTCCTGGTCATGTAAAACCAGGTGATATGGTCTGTGTTACGGTTGATTGGACTTTAGCATCTGAACTTACTTGGAAAGGCATGGAAAAGACCTTTGATGTAATGGGACGACCGGGAATTCATCGTAATGATCGATTTTGGCTCGCAATTGACCATACTGTTGATCCTCGTATCAATCATCTTCCTAAACCTGCTGGTCTCATCAAAGCATCCGAACATTTCGCCAAAGAAGCAAAGATTGTAGATTTTTATCGCCCAAATCATACTATTTTGCATACTGAATTTTACCGTACACGTGCCCAACCTGGTCAGATGATTATTGGCGCAGATTCTCATTCATGTTCGGCAGGTTCTGTCAGTGCATTTGCCGTAGGGTTAGGTGCTGCTGATGTTGTCATGCCTTTGGTCACAGGAGAAACTTGGTTTAAGGTTCCGGAGACCGTAGAAATAAAATTTGTTGGCAAACCTCCATTCGGCATTGGAGGCAAAGATGCAATTCTCTATGTGCTTGGTGAACTTAAACGTAATACTGTTGCTTTTGAACGTGCTGTAGAATATACCGGTCCTGGACTCAAGTATCTTTCTTGTGATGCACGTTTTGCAATTTCAAATATGGCTACAGAATTTGGTGGTATTGCTGGTGTATTTGAAGGCGACGAAATTACTGCAGCATTTATTGCAAAGCGAAAGAACCCCACTCACAAGAACTCTGCATTATACTTCCGTGCTGACCCTGATGCAGTGTATGCTGAAACCCATACAATTGATTTATCTAAAGTTGATTCTCTTGTTGCTTTATATCCATCACCAGATGATGTAGTAAGCGTGAAAAAAGTTGAAGGAAAAAAACTTGATGGTGTGTTCATTGGTGCTTGTACAACAGCTGAGGAAGATTTAATTCTTGCTGCTTTAGTTTTAGAGGCAGGACTCAAAAAAGGATATAGACCTACTATAGGTGGCACGAGACGTGTTACTCCCGGTAGTTTACCGATTGTTGCGAAATTACGTCGCCTTGGTTTATTGAAATTTTATGAACAAGCTGGTTTTGAAATTGGTGCGCCAGGTTGCTCTTATTGTATTGCAGTTGCTGCAGATCATGCTGGTGAAGGAGAAGTTTGGTTAAGTAGCCAAAATAGAAACTTTAGAAATCGAATGGTCAGTTTTATCAATTTTTAAAACTTAATAATGTTATCTTACAGAAATATGGATAACATTATCTATAAACTTCTATTATATGTTTACTTTGTTAATATCCTTTAAAAATGAGTCAGACTCTAACGACATATATATATGTTAATTATTATTTAATTTTAGGGTAAAGGCGCTATTGGAAATTTAGCATCTGCAGCTACAGTTGCCGCATCTTCGTTTGAAATGCAAATCCGTGATCCCAGAGAACTACTTGATTGTATCGATGCTGATAAGTATCACGAATATCTCGAACAATGGATAGACCCAGGCGTATCATTTACTATATCTGAGCCAAATCCTATTTTATGTGATCCTAATGATCCTAATGCTAGAAAATCTGATAGTCTACCATCAAAATCCTTATCTGACGTTACAATAGCTGGCAAAGTTCAACGCTTTGAAGATAA